ATCTTCGGCGGGCTGACCCCCAGCGGGGAGTTCATCGTCATGGCCGGGTAACGAAAACGAAGCTGAGGGAGACCGAGCGGGCGATCGACTCGTAGACCGACTGCGTGGTGGAGGCGCCGATCGGGCACGTTTGTGGATGTGCCCGACGGAGTCCGGAGATCCGGAGCGACTGCGGCTGCGAGGTCGGCGCGCACTGGCGAAGGCCAATCCACCGAACCACGCGAGATAAGGCGTCGGCCACATTCTCGAGATCCTCGTTGGATCGGTCGCTGACGCGCCGCAACATAGCGTAGGCGTCCTGGACGTCGATGAATTGGGCGTCTTGGGCACGGATCACTTGTTGCGCGCTTTCGAGACACGATCCTGTAACACAGCGACGGCATGAGCAGCGATCGACAACGGAATAGGCGACACGGAAAGTTTACGTACGGAGATCGGCGTTCTCTCGGAGCGCAACGTCGCGGTCCTGATGAGCTTGATCGACGTCTTCCACGGCAGCGGTGGCTTGGTCTCTCGCGGTATCTCGGGCGGTACGCATCCGATCCAGCTCCTCATTCACCTGGCGGAGGGCAACCTGCAGTCGATCGACGTCGGGCGTGGGTCCGGTGGGGGGCGTCGGGGTTGGAGCGGCCGGAGTGGCCGCGGCTGTTTCGGCCATCCGAAGGGCAGTCTGGACCCGATCGAGGCTACCGCGTGTAAGGTCCAGCTCGTGGTTCACCTCGTCCAGCTCGCGCTCTTGCTCGGAAACTTGCGATCGGAGGTCCGAAATGTCCGCCGTGGCGAGATCGAGCTGGTAGTCCAGTCGATCACGATCGGCACTAGCAGTCGCGAGGTGGGCCTGAGCGCGCGTCAGTCGACGATCCAGATCCTGGATCTCGGCGGCTTGCTGGGCTATCTGATTCCGGAGGCCTTGGATCAGCTGCAGACCTTGACCCTGGGCACTCTGCTGAAGGTCGCTGACTTCGGTCTGCAGACGGCGGATCTCTGCCTCTTGCGCCCAGCGGTGGCGCTCCAAGTCGTGTAGGTTCGCGGTCAGCTCGCGCACGGTGTCGTCCTGGCGCGCCCGGTCGCGGATCATAGTCGATCGGGAAGCGTAGGCGCATGCCAGCTCATCTTCTAGGCGGGCGATTCGGCGGGCAGCGTCGGAAGAAGCCGCGGCATGACGGGAGGCCGTCGATCGCGTCGATCGAGGGGTCGAATGAGTCGACCGGGTCGAGCCGTGTGTCGAACCGCCGTCGCCCGACGGACTGGGGGGATGTGCCGGAGGGTTGGTTGGCGGTGCGTCCATCTGGAGTAATCTGCACTTGGGCCGGCGAATTGGAGAATGACCAAGGTCGAACTGTCCGAAGTGAGCCGCTGTGCGACACAACTTGGGGCCAGGGGGCGGATGTGGAGCAGTGCTGAATAAGAATTGTTCTCCGAGAAAAACGGCAGGGCTGATCGACTGGAGGTGTGGGAGATCGGCGATCGAGAGACAGGCAGCGAGGATCTACGGATCAGAAGGAGTCCTTCGGGAGATCTCAAGTGGCCCGATGACGGCGGCGCGTAAGGCAGGACATGTGGTAAGCCGGATTGTGGGTGATCATGCCCGAACCGCGGCGTGATTCGTGGCCGACCCAAGCCCAGATCGACGACAGAACCCGCGGATCTGAGATGGCCGAGGACAGAAGGTGATAGATCGGCGGCGCATGGCAACCGGCATAAGTCATCGATCGGGAGTGGATCGCCGATCGGGGTCGATCGTGGATCGGGGGCCGATCGGGGGTCGCCGATCGGGGCCGATCGGGGATCGACCACGATGGGATGCACATGAAGGACGAAGTCGGGACATGAATCCAGTGGTTGTTTAGTTGTAGGATGGTAGATAAGATGGTAGCGGTAGAGAGACACCAGCTAAACATAAATCAGAGCAGAATTTGCACCGAAGAGCACAAGTCCCCTCAAGTCACCAAGTCCCAGGAACTACAGTGGCCTCGGCAGTGTCGACACTTTGGGTAGTGAACTAGCGGTACGGTTAAGACTGGATTAATACATTGGCCAGCTTGACCTACTCTAGTGATCTATCTCTTGTGTGCAAGTCCTCGATCGACCGGGTATTAGTGCTTGGTCGGCGATCGTTTCTCCTCTCGATCAACCTCGATCCCGCTATAGGAAGCGGCAAGCAACTCAGGAAAGGAAGGAACACACCCGGAAAGGCAACCACAGGCCTTGGATCAACTCCAGGCCGACCGATCGCAGCGAACAACCCTCGATCGGAGCGTACACTCGGACGCAGAGCGAAGACTACCGCGCTGCTCCACAAACAATCCCCGCGTCACGCCAAGACACTCGATCTTCACCAAGTGCTGCATCTTCGGAGCCCCGAGAGAGCAGATCCAGCCCGCCGACGGGTACACAAGGTGAGAACAAGTTCAGCCGATCACGGATCGTTGGGGGACCCCCTCCGTTAGTCGGTGTCTGGGCGCTGGTGGGACGCTTGATCAGGCCTTAACCAGATTTTGGCCGATCCCGCTACACCACATTCTTAAAGCAGAAACATCGATTAAAGTGCTTTCTTGGAGCTATCCATCAGTGTTGATAATCTGTTCGATTTGCTTTAGCTGTAACTGTTGTGTACTTTGAAGTAGCTGCTTTGTATAGCAAGATGCATCAATTGCTTGGTCGGTTTTGCGGTCCTCCGCTGCCTAATCTTCTGCTATTCCGTCCTCTTGCAAGTACAGAGCCTCCATCGTCAACAAAAAGCGGCACAAAAGATTGGAAGGCGTAATACACGTCAACTCGGGGATACCAACTGGCCACGAAATGATTGCTAATACAAGTGTTGCTAAAACGCTGAGAAATAAACATTGCATTAAGTAGTCCTGTTGTCCTGTTGCTCTACCGTTATTAAAACGGCACATACGTTTTCAAAAGTACAACCATTTTCAGCGTACTCTGATCGATTTTGAAAAGCTGACACTTTCCTCAGTGCACTACTACACCGTTGCCGAGCCCTGGGAGTCTCGGTTAATCTTACCTCCGCACAAATAGGTTGTATCGGTGGTTATTCTATTTATGTCTTAGGGAACCTGAACGAGATACCCCTTCGAAAACTATTTAATGAGACGCCCTTCACGGCCAGCACTAACCAGATGCCCCTCATTGAAAATTCGCTGTCTTCATAGGAATGACATACAATGAAACACGGAAAGTGGTGAAGACGTAGACAGTATACTTTATCTCTCTGCTGGAGATTATCCCTCTCCTTCACTTTCATGAAAGATCTCGGCAGGGCATTTTTTTTTGTCTATCTCTCTCTCTCTCTCTCTCTCGGACATAAGGACTTCCTCTACATGTAGTGATAGTATCCATCTCAAGTCGACCACACCACTAACAATGCAGTATACAGTACATCACAAAAGACATGTATCAGCACTTTTAGCCGGGAACTTCTCATTTCTCGTACCAAACGATGATTTTATAATTTTTCGCAAACCACTATTCCGGGTTGTCAGTGACACAAACTGCAATAATTGTGAAACGCAGCAAGAATGACTGTCGCCAGCCTCGCTCCATGACTCAAAGTCTAATAAAACTAATGCATTGCTTAAGTACAGAGTATTTGTTAAGCTTCCCCAGTATTACCTTCATTAGCTATGTTGCGTGGTTGCTACATGTATAGTTTTCGTAACTTTGACTAATGATCAAGTTACTGGGTCCGATTTCTAACAAATGGGAACTGAGATAATGCTCTTGGTCTTGGCCCAAGACCTCGTGTCCGAAGCCACGCCAGGCTCGAAATCATTTTCCAATTCGCGCGACCGGCGAGCTCCACCCGCCTGGTCCTTCTCGACGCTGTCAGCTTGACGGCGCTTTAATCTCTGCGCTGCGGCTTCAACGTTGTAAATGTACGAAAGCTCTGCTCTCCAACCCTTACGCATGTATTCCATGTATTCCTTCCTTCCTGGACGCGGAGGTGTGGAGACACCAAGAGCACTGGGAAGTCTGGGGCTCCACCAAAACCTTTTCCGCTGTCCGTGACCATTTTTGCCAACGCGCAAGAAAGACCATCTTGAGATTCCAGCTGCTCGATGGGGGTCACTGCAACTTGCGCCAGTCCGCATTGAAGGTACCAGCCGAGAGTCTTCGTAAACCAATTAAGTGGTTAATAATTCGATCCATTCGGCGTGCAGTAGCAGTCTGGCTTCACTTTAGCTTCATATGCTTCAAGCAATAACTTACGAAATAGTGAATCATATGTTTCCATATTTTGCTCTTCAAAAAAGATCATATCTGCTGAAAAAGAGGGAAGGATGATGTTTCCCGCATTAGTAGAGGTCTGCGCATGCGAACAAGTTTCAGTAAAAAGCATAGGATGGGTTTTCACTAGTGCTGCACATGAGACTTTCGTACACATAGATAGTTTTTAGTTTAGGGAAACTAGTGTGCACCTTCGTAAGCTGGTTGTCTACTGATATGCCTTTCTTAGTTTAGCAATCCAGTACGGATGTACATGTACGGCCACACAGACAAGGCATTTCAATAAGTAGGATAGCATGTAGACACTTATCAGGTTGTTTCTCACTGTGCTTTTATTTTGCAGCGTGCAGAAATGCTCTGCGGCAGATTGCAAGAACACTTTTTGTTTTCGTTGCTTCGGATGGATGCTAGGACAATTTTATCATTTCGGTCGCATGATACATTTATTTATGCAAATTCATGTGTGTCCTCGACGGTAACTCTAGAAACATGGACTACACCACCTTGATATCATCAGTAGCGACGCATCTTTTCCTTCTTCAGCCTGTTGGGCACTGAAGTTCAGGTATTCATACACGGTGGGGAAGTGCTTATGCGGGTGGTCTACCGTGATGACATGTTTGAAGCCGTGACCAGCGTAGTCCTTGTCCATGCCATCACGCGCTCGTCATCATGCTTGTCAGCCAGCGCGCATGGGTCATGGACATGCTTGTAGCGGGCGGACACGCCGCAGCTTGAACTCTGCTGAGTTTCTTTGCTCTAGGAGTTGCCACCGCCGTGGGTCATGGTGGCGAACGGATTGGGGCCTGCAGCTCCTGCAGCATGTCACGTGCCCGCGTCTTGCTGCAACAGCACGATGTCTGAGCCGAAGGTGGGCCCCAGAGGCGCTGCGGCTGCCGCGCATGGCTGGGAGGGAGGGGGTCTACGCAGAGCGTTCGTGAGCGTGCTGGTCCTAAGATTGTGTCAGGCCATCGTCCAAATCCACGCCGTCGCCACTACCTCTTGCTCTGTGCGCGTGTGTCCTGCTCCCAGTGTGCCAACCGACCTGGCCGCATCCGACGGTGGTCCTGGGGGAGGCGTGCCGAATGCGTGAGGTGACGGCAGGGTGAGCGGTGCCACCCGCCACCTGCGGCATGCAATAGCTAACAGCTTGGAGCTATTCTAATTAGACCTCCCACGAGCGCACTTACCCTGATTTCCGTGCAACACGACGCTAAAACAGGGTAAATAGTTCTGCAAAGCAGAGTACACCTTATACTAAAATAACGCAGTTTTAAGCCAAATCCACTTTAGAAGGCCCACAGCCCATACATCCTCTATTTGGAAGAGGTCTCTTAAAAGACGGGCCTCAGTTTAATGGCTTTCGCACCCTTTGCTGGAGGCTGAATCCCTGTATCTCTATGAATAGTCGCTTGGAACAGTCGGACATCGAGCCTGAAATGATCTTATACAGAGGTAAAATGCAGCAATTTTGCCCCTGGGAAAGGTAACCATTAAACCTTTCCATAGCCCTATCCATAAATTCATCGAAAGAAAGTAGCGATTTAATTATAGGGGGGAGCTTCGCCCCAACAAATAGTACCCCACCTCGTGGTAAAGGCTTTTGGCCAGAAACGAACTGAACTAACGTATAATATGGAATAAAGGACGGCGCAAAATGAAAATTGCGCACTTTATTTCATCCGCACTCTATTTCTAAGTACCAAAGGTTGAGCAGTCCCCCGAGTACATTTCCCTGCACTCATACCCTATACCCGCACATTCTAGGCTGTGTTGCAGCACTGGAGTACCAGAAGCGCACTGATTGGTCACTAAAGGACTCATTTTTTGTAAGTTTTCCTTAAAAGTACAAACACGAAGGTTCTGCAGCGACATCCTTACTATGACTAGCTTCGTTCAGGCCACAAGTAAACTCAACAAACACATGGTTTTATTACTTTGAATCAGCTAGTATATGCCCCCTCATTTTTTCGGTTGGATTTATCATAAATAATGGTATCGTATTAAATTTTGGACCACACCAATGCGTGCAGTTTGCCGACTTCGCAACATTTGCAACTGCGAAGTCAAAAATATACACGAAATATTAAAGGACATCAACACTTTGTTTTACTCTTTGTATGGTGCTCCAACAGTTATTTGTGCAGTTTGGAATTTCGTGTTTCACTCCACTTGTTAGTACTGAGCGCACTCAATTTTATAGCACATTTTTTTATAGAGCGCGCTGTTTTACAGCGCTCTATTTGAAGGGCGCTCTATCAGCTAGGGGAACTCTTTTCGATATTATACGTTACAGCTTTTAAAAATTACTTACATTGTGTTTGCATTATCCACAGACAATCCCCTCGGTAGTCATGGCGTCGCCACTTTTTATTCCTAGGTGAGGGTATTCTTGTCGTAGGGTGTACCATTGGGGTGGTACACATTATTGTACCACATACATGGTACAAATTGGTGCAGTCTTTTGGTTGCATAGCGCTTAAATCGATGAGGGGGCAGGGAATTAATGCAGATAACGATGTATCCCTTCGTCGCTACCGTCGTTCGGTAACATCGAGCAGGATAAAGTCTATTTGAGTTTAATGCCGTAATAGATGTTAGACACGATGCAGGTAATGATACTGAGAGCAAACTAATTTGGCATGATACTGTTGTGCCCCATTTCACTAATGTTGACAAGCTCCCAGCTCCTTTGTATTTGAACGAACGACACTAAAAGGTGTATAATAAGGTTCCGAAAGCTAATGCAATCGTTAACTGGAATTCGGCAAGGAAACACAGACGATAGGAGCAGGTGTCCTGGTCGACTACTCCAGACGTCCTGTACAAAGTGAACTTTTGCCATAGAACATTCATATTCTATGATTTTCTATTCCTTATTACGATTGAGGGGGAGGGGGAATAATTACTTGGCTTTGTATAGGACGGGCATTCAGAAATCGTTGGGAGCCACATTTATATTCCTGATGAGCGGGTATTCTTTACCTAGGGATTACTAGCGAGGGATCGTCTGGACCCACAGTTTAAAAAAAGCTCACTATCCCTAGATGCTGTGTTCTTGTTGTGTTTATAACTCCTGCATTTTTTTACCTCGTTACAGCTGCGCATAGATTTTCATTGAGTGAATTTTATTCGCAGTTCTTCGCAGTTCGAAGAACTGTGTTAGGCCGCCCCAGAAAAGTTGCAGCATGAC